AAAAAAAAAAAAAAAACGAGAAGCCAAAGAGCCCAGAATCAACTGAGCAAATGAAAACAAATCAAAATCAAAGTATATCAAAGTGCACCAGCAACAACCCCAGCAGGATAACAACGACAAAAAAATGCGAACGCCAACCCTTCTGGTGTTTGTTCAAGTTGGCTCTCATCTCTGCAGGCCAGGTGCGGTACTGAGAAGGTCGCCTGCAGCCTGCTTGCTGGCCTGGGCAAGTATGCGTCACATGCGGCTTTTTCCCTAGAACCTCACTCCCAGCGCGTTCTAACCCCGCCTCAACCACCAAAGCCATAATTTGTTTCACAGGCTCCTGAACTTCTGCCCAGAAAGCTTTCAGCTTCTGTAGAACCTTCATGCCTTGGCTGCAAGATCTGAGCAAGAGGGTATGCTTCAGCATCTGCGCAGCTAAAGGACACTGCGCAATCAGCTTCTTGGCCTGCCCCAGCTTCTCCTCCAGCGACACAGTTTTCATGCATGCTCAGTTGCTACGTGTCTCGACATGCTGTCCTGGAAAGCGCTCTGCAAGTCTTGGAATAAACTGGCAGCTTCAGTCTTCGTGTCTTCCAGAACACCATTAAGGCCTGGGGCGTAAGCATCTTCAAGCCCGCGCAGATGCTTGCTATGAACCACGACAGGGATGTTTTTTCTCAGATCCTGGCTATCGCAGGCGTTCGTGCCAAATCTATCGCACACATCATTAGCCTGTTGCTCGGAGTAGAGCGGAAATATCAAAAGAGCACAGCTTTCGAAACGAGGTGCAACCACGACACCGACTTCATGTTGGTGAGATCTTCCATCATTGAACTGAACTGCTCACCGCCTTTGTCAGGAGCCTCAATGATGGATTTTTGAAGATACCTTAGGTCTGCCGCAGTGGAATAATAATGCATTGGGAAGAATCATAGCGTTCCAGGGATGAAGAATGGATACCAATCCAACCAACTCGTTGCAAGGCAAGCGGCTGCAACCAGCTATCTATGATGACGTCAGATTTGCCCCACGCCCTTGCGAGAGGCTCACGATTCGGCGTTCAGAAAAACGACACAATCAGTTGTCTTGAATCAACTGCTTCCTTGACCCCACTTGCGCGCAAGTTGCCTTTTGGCAGCTTCTTTGAGCGGGTCTAGGAAAGCCGCCATGTTCTTCGTGGCCAAGGCCGACATGAGATTCGCACCTGGGTTCCCACCGAACTTCACCAGGACCCAACGCACAGCTGTCAAAGACATGACGCTTTTACCAAGCCTGGGCACCCAAAACAGCCAACGCTCCTTTCCATTTCGTGGCCGGGATCTGCATTAGAGGCTTCGAGAAAGCCTGCTGCTCGAGTTGCTGGAACTCCTGGCCCTGAGACGTGTTGTAGACCTGGTGGAATCCGTATCAAGCTTTTTGCAAAGCACCGGAGCTCAGCGAGCCTCGTCTACTGCATTCATCACATCCATCATAGAGGACCTGCGAAGTACCCCTGTAGCCCCTTATAGCCCGTTGTCCTTGTGCCAAAAGTGGTGCAACCGCGAGCTCTAGAAAATGTCTGTGCCGCCAAGCGTCTCTGGGAGCCTCTGCGGTGGCTGGCCTTGTGCTTGCTCTTGCAGTGATTTGCGTAATCGTCCTGTCCCCTCCTAATGCCTCTGGAGCTGCCTTGTTCCAGCTGCAAAAGTCCCAAATGTTTTTGGGATCTCTTGGAAAGCTGCGTCATCTGCTTCAGTGCAGCTGGCCCAGGTTCAAAGGTCGCCTGGCAAGGTTTGCACCTGTTTTGTCGTGTCCTGGAGCATTCCTCAACATGTGTGCTGGCCTCCGTTTGCTCCAGCAAGCTGGCATAGCCTTGCGGATCGGAGCCATCGGGCAGCATGAAGTAGTACAAGTCCTTCAAAGAGACTTTGCATGGATTGAAAAGCGTTGGCGAGCTGCTGAAAGCTTGGCATACTGCACGTCACCAATAGCTGCATCCTCCACTCGGAAGATGTCTTCCAAGGGAAATTTCTCGCCTGGAGGATGGTGCTTCATCTGGACCCCGGTACCAACAACAGCAACAGCAGCAACAGCATTAGCAACAGCAACAAGGTAAGCAATAACGGCAGGGTCAACATGTCGTGTCTTTAAGCTTGCATTTTAGTAGCCCAGCTTTTGGCAATTGCTGTTTATCCATCGCACATGTCAACGTTCAAAGTCTTGCCAGCACTGTCCTTTACGTGGACACTATCCTTTTCCATGAGGACCAATTGATTTTTTTACGGTGACACTTGCCCTCGCAGCGTGGTCACGGCGGGAACATGGAAGAGGCAGAGTCAACCACCTTGAAGCCGGTTTTCTGGTAGCATTTAATGGCTGGATGTTTGGTTTCCAGCAGTGAGTTTATCATTGACATGCCGGGAACCATGTTTCATGTCATTTGCCTCCGCGTCCAAGGCTTCTGCCTTGATGAGACCGATCTACTTTGCAGTGGCATATATGCCTGGTCTGCTCGCAAAACGTGGCGTAAACGTACCCTGTGATCGGCCTGATCTTTTGAGACACTGCGGCAAAGGTGTACCTCTCATTGTACGCACCACTGGCTAGCTGCTCAATGACACAAAGGCGCTCGTCTGTGACATCTACAGGAACGTCAACTAGCTCCGCAGCATCCTCTATCATCAAATCATTATACCACGCAAGCGCTGCATGTAGGTGCGCATGCTCAGCAGCAAACGGTATTTCCGAGCGATGCAGGCGCTTGGTACAACTGCTTGTTTTCCACAAACTTTGTCATCCTGATTTTTGACCTCCTGCAGGAGAATCGGCCCTTTGTAGCGTGTCAACAAGCCTTGCGTGGAGGCGCCCAGTGCGGCACAGGCCGGTGACGCAGAAGCCTTGCGTTCTTGGCTGGACTGCAAAATGCCATTCTGAAATTCTTTAAGCAGCTCGTCTGAAATCTTCCTGTGTGGAGATTATGTGAAGCAAGGCCCCGCGCTCAATCATCAGTGAGATGGAAGTTCAACTCCAACCCAAGGTTCAGCAGGAGCTTGATCCTCTCAAGATCTCCGCTTGACACCGCATAGCACAGCAGTGCTTGACTGTTCTTGGTGCTCCTGCCCTGCACCCTTCACCCTCTTTCTTTGCACATCACTGCGCTAAGCATGAATCCTTGCGGCAGCAAGAGCATTGAAATGGGGCCCGCGCACGCCACAGGGGAAGTAAAAGGTAGGACAGCCGCCCTTCCCGGGAGAGTGCCCCAAAAGTGCGTCCAAATCAGCATCGGATTACCAGCACCCATCCTGACCGGACCCCCCCAGTTTGACCCTACGGGGCCAGCCGGTCGGAAAGATGCATACTCGCATGGCGGGCGAAAGGGGGTTGCATGGTGGGTGACCCGAGATGCTCGCGTGCTTAGCATTCGCACTACAAATGGAGAATGACTGCTTACTGTCCACCTCGGCCGGGTCAGCGCCTGTTCGAATGCAAATGCACGCTAATTGCCCTGATCCCGCCGGATCCGAGCGACGCAAAAAGACAGGGAAATTTGATTCAGAAGCGTATGGTGGCAAGATTGTGCCCTGAGCCAACGTGGCATGCTGTAGTGCTTGCTTTGCTTCTGCGAACTCACCATCTCGGACCTTAGAAAAAACTAGGTCCGGCTTCATTTCTTGAGCCCGAGCACAATCCAAGCATGCTTCGTGGGTGCCTCATGGCTGTTGCAGCTCAGCCAGCAGGACATGTGACCGGAAAAGCCCTGGACAAGCATTGGGCAAGCTCCCTGGCCTATGTATATATCAAGCCCAACGACCACAGCCAGGCTGATAGCAGCGAAGAGCATCACGTTGCATCCTCTCTTCGTGAAAACCTCCTCCTCAGTTGAAGGTCAGGGGAGATTCAATACTCCTTTGCATAGCAAGAGTCGTTCCCAAAAATAACGGTGTCCCCACAAGAACTACAATGGCACGTGGGTTGATGGCCAAAAAAATCAGAAGCTCGGGCACAACTACTCTTGTTTTGTTTGCATGAGGTCGATGATTAGTTGTGGAATCATACTGAACTTTGACACTACCGATCGTGCGGCTAGCTATGCAGTACTCCCTGGTCGTGCGCCTATGGGCTAGCAGAGTGACTTACACCTAATCCCAGGCGTTGGAAGACTTGCGGAAAACGGATCAAAGCCATCCCATGTTGCCAAGGCACACTTCTGAAGAGCGACCATATGAAGCATACAGTTGCCAACACCATTAGCAGCGTCGCGAACACCATGACTGAGATCAGCAACAAGTTCAAGGGTCGCATTGCCACCTCAAAGAAGAGTCGCAAGCCCGCGAGGCAGCCAGCAGCTCATGGCGTGTACTGTTCCTAAGGCCCACGCTAGTACATCACAATTTGCAAGTGTGTCACCTCAATTGCTTCATGTGATTCCAGCGAGATGGATGCCACAAATAACGATCTGTACTGTCGCGCAAAGTGAAACCTGGATCAAGTCTGGTGGCAAATATCTGGATCCTGGTCTTGCTCATCGTGACCAAGCTCTGATTGCAACCCCTCGAGGGTCGCGTAGTCCTTCCCAAGTAACAAGAAAAGCTCCTTCCCAACACAGACCTCCCAAATTTGTCTAGCACTCTTCAGTTCAATCTTACTGGTGGTTAGTAGGAAATAAGGGAATCTCTACATAATGTATTTCCTCCTTCCCTACTAACCACCAGTAAGTAATGTTTGTAGCCAAGTCACATTGTCCAGGTCAAACTCCAGCTTCGCTGGAGGTTCAAGGATGAAGCCTTGGCTGCTCAGTAGCAAGACAATATGGGGGGTCACATAAGGATTATATAGGGCGTCATAGTGAAGCTCAATATAGACCCCCATGTTCAGTAATCTTGTTTATGGGGACCCAAAAAGGTGACCGGAATTCTGGGAGACCTGCAAGGAGCACACTCCCCAAGGTGGCTCTAGTGTTTAATTTCTGTCCGCATTGGCATCGGTGGGAGTTTCGTTACGCAACGAGTTGCCTGCTGCGAAAGTATGGAAAGCATGGTCGGCAATTAGAGTTTTCACACCTGTACAAAATCAGCTGAGAGAGACCAAGAAAATCTGATGAAGGCCCGGACTATGCCCTCTAGCGTGCAAACGCATCAAATAACGGCCCTCAAGCCTCAAGTCTGTTTGCATCAAGTAGCTCAAGGAAACTCCACCAGACTTGACCGAACGATGGCAGTTATCATACATGCTCAAGGCGATGGGATCGTCCCTGGCCCCTTCTAGGATATCCTCACAGAAGTGTCGAAGTTTTGCCTGGGAGGGCGCGGGATATGCGAGCGCTTTCGGTCTGCACAGATCTGGCCTTGCACTTCTTGGGATCAACGAAAACAGAGAAGATGGCGTCGCTGGGCTTGCAGAGCTGCTTGGCTGAGCCGGACCACAGCCCAGCTTGGAGCTCGAAGGCCTGCAGCTGCATCAGCCGTTCAATGCAGCTTCGAGAACTTTCAAGATCTTTCAAGCTGGGTCGCTGTGTGGGGCTCTGTGGACGTCTCCAACTTGCGCTGCAACGCTGGGCTGAAGTTGGTCTCGGCACACAGGCTTTCCCCAAACAGAACTACACCAGGAGCGCTCATGCCACTGAAAACAAAGTCTATCCAGGAGACGGAGAGGCTGCCCGCTGGCAAGATCGCAACCATTGCCTTGAACCTAAGCGGATGCTAAGACCGCCTGTTTGTCACCTGGCCCGCATCTGGCAGCTAGAGCCATACCTTGAAACTTGGCCATAGGTCATGGCTCAAGTCTTGAAGTTTAGCATCTGAGCATCTCGCATCTCGTAAATCTCCGACGGAGGCACTTGGACTTGGAAGCAGTGCCATCTGAAAGGACAGTGTCCAAACACACCGCCAGATGTTCTAGCAAGCATTGCCATGACCCCGCGTGCCTCTCAGAAGCCAAAGCCCACACCTGAGCTCGGTTCACAGAAGACTGAGCGCCTGGTCTGCGTCGCTTCCTCCACTTGAGCAAGCTACTAGGAAGACGCTGGCCAGCAATGAGAAAGCAGCGGCACCCCGGCGAAGAGTCTTGCTGGGAGGCTCTTTGCCGGCATCGGAGCCAGGAAGGCCAGAGGGGCCTGCGGGATCACCGGACCCGCCGGCACCGCTTGCCCTGCTGGCCGCGCCAGGGCCATCTTCGCCTCTGATCATAGCTTTAAGAAGCTGAGAACCAGCTGCAGCTTCTTGTCAATACAGAGTATGATGCTTGTACGTCGATTTCAGGTTTCCTTGCCCAGACATGCCCGTGACAACATGCTATCATGCCCAAAGGAGAACAACTCTGGTCCACATCGGCTCTCAGGTCTTATGCAGGTAAAATGGCCGAAGCAGCCTGGGTTTTGGACCATTTGCTTAGGGCCGCCTCCTTATTTCCAACTCATTTGATCTCATTTGCATCATTTAAGGGGTACATATGTTGACCTTCTGGTTGACACGCATCAGCGATGCACGTGCTTTACGTTTTGCTCAAAGCCAGGGGCCTTCATCCATAGAATCACGTCCACAGTCGTCGTTGTTCTGCCAACGTGGAACCTGCCCACCACAAAGCTTCGCCGCGCGTAGCACAGCGCTAGTGACTAGCGACATTCAAGCGAGCCTGTTTGTCAAACTACCCGCATAACCACTCACCCGAAACAGAAGGACGCACTCATTCTACAGAGCTGCGAGCCCAGTCGAAATGCATTGGTGGCCAGTAGGTCAACATCATGCAGTCTTGCAAAACGTTCCAAGCTTCAATGCTAAGCCTGACAACAATAAAGCAACTTGCAGACAGGTTTCGACCACGAGCGTGCTGTTGGAGGGATTGCAAACAGCTCCTTGCAAGCAGTCCTTGGAGAATTTCATTTGGACAACATCTAGGTGGGAAAGTCTGAAGCTGTCGGCCGAGTCACCGTGCATTCTGACTGCCCTTGCGATGTTGCTTGCGTTCCCACTTTGCAGGCCGTGCACTCTGGGCCTTGGAAGAAAAACGAGTTCAGATCCCAAACTCCGTCTGCTGACTGGTAGAAAAACGTGACATGGAGACATTTGGCCACGGGGCTGCGAGTATTTCGCGAGGTCCCATCCAAACATGGATAGCAAGGGGTATTTGGCCCTGCACCTGAAGGATCCATGCTGCAAGAGCAATTGAAATTGCGCAGGCTGCAACTTGTGGATAAAGCATTTACGGCAGGATTCACTAGGACTAGGAGACAAGGAGCTTGTGTCGTTGGCGGCGACGTTGGAGAGCATGCTAAACAGGCTGGCGGTGACCACCTCAAAACCTGGCTCGCCTTGGAAGACTAGCCATGCCACGTGCAGAAAATACGCACCCGAGGTGGATCCGTTCAAGCCGCAAGCCCACCCAAGTGCGCGCAGCCTCGTGTGAATGCGGCTAGGGGACACGGATACCGCACCAGCCGGCGAGAGTCCTCTGACGGTCTCGGGTAGTCCTCAACCGGCAAATCGCAAAAGAATTGACTTCTCCCCCTCTCGCCCTTGAATCGTTGAAGGCTACCCTGATTGACCCTGATTGCATCTTTTTGGGGATATCCAACTGAGCTCTTTGCAAGGGTTGGTAGCGGCGATGAGCCCTGCATGGAGGAATAGCAAAGAAAGAGCGTGCATTCCCTGAAAGCGTGTGTGACTGGCATGCTCTCATCGCGGCTCTTCCCTAGCTGCAACATCCCATTGCCTCAGAGACTTGATATACCTCGGAGAAACGGTGACCGGTGAGGTTATCATGCTTCATGAACAAGGTGAATGCGGTTGAAATAGCGGAAACAGGACAAGTCGCCTCCAGCAGCTGCGGCGTGAGCCGCGTGTACGCTAAAAGCGTCGCCGTGCTGATGGGGTCGGCTACCGGTGGTGGCGGCTGTGTGGGTCCTTGGCCCTGGTCTTGCGGGCCAAGCTGCCTGGACAAGGACTCGATGCCACGTTCATCCTCCGAACCTCAAAGTAAGAGTCCAGCAAGCGCCGCCCATCAGTGATGTTCAAAGCCTCGGCTGAAGAATGCTGACGATCAGGGCCAAGACCAGGGCCGCGTGAGATGTACACAATTGCACACGGGCAGCGCCGAGGGGCAACCAGCTGGGACAAGCCCAAAAGCGGAGCTGCAAGGTAGCCGTGGCTATTGAAGCAAAGCAACTGGTAAAACGATTCCTGGCGCAACGGGGAACTGAGTATCTGGAAAACGGATGCTGCCAACAAGAAGCACGAAACACACCAGGTCTTCTTTCGCACACAAGTTGACGGCTGTTCATGCGACACTGCAAGGCGGGATTGCAGATTCTTGAAGTTGCAAATTCCTGGCTGGAGAGCTGATGTCTTGAGTTCCAAATTAGCCTTCACACCCTCCCACTCCCCCTCGTTTCCGTCTGGTCCGTGTGGGAGACGCAGCCATGGGTTTGCTGGCCGTTGTAAAAAAGACTCGAGAACAGCCCAAATGTCCCTTCGGCTTCAGCTTCAGCGAGTGCTTTAGTGAAAGGAGTCCCTGCTCCTCAACCCACAGGAATCTTGTTGGGAGGTAGGTTGGGAGTATGGCCGACATTGCCACGCTCTCTGTGATGGTGCACACATGTGCCTAAAACTGCAGCATGTCCAACAGCCCAGCAAAGCACGTTTCAGCCTTGTTGTCACACGACTGAAGCGAGTTCACAATCTGTCGGTTTAGGTCACCTCGGTTGCGTTCTGCAGGCTCTACATTCTACAGGCGTCCATCGCTCGGAACAGCTGGGCTTTATCCAAACTCAGCGTATGAGATTTACGTACGACGCGACCTGATGAAATGACAGCAATTTGACCCATAAACCGTCCTTCTGGATGACGAACACCCATACCAATAATGTTGCAAATGAATCAGAGTGAGGAGGGCTATACGGCAGTGCTGGGTGCATACCACGGCACGGAAAACCGGAATGGCTGGCAGGCTTAGCAACTCTGCCAACTGAGCGGTATGCATTGAAGTCCTTCGTGCATGGAACATCGCTGGCAACAGCCGTTAAACCTTTTCCAAATCAGATCTTCAACAAGACCTCGACAAATCAACTTGTGACAGGCTTCATGGCCACTGCGGCAGCAGCAGCTTGTGCTGCGTAGAGCGGCGGCTCTACGCCATTCAGACCTTAGATAGATGATGGTGAAACTCCCACGTGATGCAATTGTGACGTTATCTGATGTTTTCCAACAAATTGCAGAAAGGAGCTTTGGTAGGCACCGGCAAAGGTGGCTCGCGTCACAGAATTGTGGCAAGGTTGAAGGTTGCACGGCCTCAGGCTAACATTCCAAACAACACCCTAAATCCGCTGCTTGTTGAGCTGGGGATCTCGATCCTGGAGCTCCTCGGCTGCCGGTCACAAAGAAATGCATTCACAGCTCCCTGCACACAAAAGTGCGCATGAACCTGCAAGCAGGGCTCCAAATTTCTGGCGTCATTATATTCAATGAGCTGGCGGCCAGCAAAGCTTCTGAGAACTCGGGGCGCGATGAATCCCACATGAGGATTGCCTGGATCTGTTCGACTTTCAATTGAAGCAAAGAACACACATTTGTCAGCACAAATCTTGGTCCCGCTGCCTCAAGAAACGTATAAACGCGCATTTACACTGAAACCAGTTTGAGCAGTACCCACCCAAAAACCTGCAGGGGCATTACTTTTTGGTGCGATTGTGATCCGCCTTCAGGCGGGGGGTCCTCTGACCTCAAAATCATCGGGTCGGCCCGGGCACTCGTGCACTCCGCTGGCCCGATGTGGGCGTGGAGGCCTTTTTCATGGTAGTAGTTTGATTGAACTGAACAGCGCACTCCAACGCTTTGAGCAAAAAACGCGTGAAGGTATGAGCGATCTTCAAGGCTGCGAGGACCACTCGATTGCTCCAAATGAACATCAGCACTTTTGGATGCTCCGATCAACGAGTCATATTTCCAATGCTCAACATATGTGATGACAGCATATGAAAGCATAAGTTTGCAGGTCTGCGCCGCTCTCTGGAAGGGAAAGACCGCCGAGTGTTTTAATGGCACGGTCGCCCAAAAAGGTGCTGGCTGACGATGGTGCTCCGATCCGGGGTGCCACGCAGGAGAGGGTGGAAATGGATACTCCTTGGCAAACCAGAATTGTGGAAGGGCGCGGGGCAGACTTGGAAGGGAATGTATCGATTGCGTCTGAGGGATCCAAACCCCAGAGCCGAAGTGAATGAATTTGGAAGTCATGTTAACCAAGCCAACAACTCCATGAATGAAGCATTGTTACGCCCCCCCCATCAACATCTGAAGGGTTATGACTTGCGACTTGCGTTGAAGACATTCCTGGAGTTGTTCACAGCAGCGCCGCGGTCAATGGAGTGGATGATGTGGTTAAATTCGCACGGCCAGCCAGACATTTCAGAGGAACCATATTATCCACCTGAGGATGTGGATAAGCCGATGGCAGAGGAATTGGCGGATGATACCAGTGGATCAAGGAAGAAGGCTCCATCACAAATGGCACACGATGAGGACGAGAACTTGGCCGAGAATGAACCTTCACCCAACCGTGCTCCATGGATGGGCACATGGGCTCAGAAGATGAAATGACTCAAGCGGCGCCGGAGAAAAGAGCTCAAGGAGAACATTAGACACGGGCATGCCACCAGCAAAAGGAACGGTTGAATCAACTTCCGTGAGTAAGAGCTCTGGACCAGTTCGACAAGATCGCGGTAATGTTCGTCGACATGAAGTTACCTCAACCTATGACCGAACTTCAGCGAGCTTTGATCAGAAGCGAAGCGTGGATATGCTAGGTGGTGGACACTCTCAAGCGACGAGAACTTCGATGTCGATTCCAGTCGGTGACGACGACAACAACCACGACGACGACGATCATGCGCTTGAGGCCTTCCTACCGCTGGAAGCTCAAGCCGAGATCGAGGCTCGATAATGCATCAATTGATTTACAGATCCTGCCCTTCTTGATGTCGTCAAACTATCATGAACGCTCGCAGCAAATGTTTTAAGCGTTGTGCTCCAACTCATCGCGTCACATGAGTGACAGCACCCGGCATGAAGCCAACCAGCGACAAAAAGCTTCCAAAGCAAAGGAGTGCCAAGCGTTGACTCTGACGTGATTGCGGGAGGAATGCGCAAGTATGTTTACAGCCTCGTGATTGCACCTCGCCAATGGTGGCTGTGGAACTCCCATGAATTTGGGAAGTTGGGCATGACCCGAGCGCTTGGAACCTTGCGGTTTTAGGGGCACCGTGAAGGCAGGCTTGATTTGGTGATAGGGGAACCCCAGGCCCCAGGCTTTGCAGGGCGAGGTGCTCAGTTTTGAGGACAGCGCTAAATACTGACGCAAAACGGATAGCTTAGTAGTACCACGAAGTTTTTGGACCAATCTAAGGTGCGAAAACATGTAATCAAGAAGAATTTTCGCAAATCATGCAATTGCACAATCAGTTGGAAAAAGTCGGAAAGACCAGCTCTATGACCTAGTTGCTGCGTAAGAGGTTTCAGACAATCGTTACCATCGACTG